ACATATGAGGTCAATTTTTTGGTAGAAAATAGATTGTTTACTTGCCGCCAAAAACATATATAGAATTATTTTTTCATTTTATAGCTATAAACTGAGTTGCGGCTGGTTTATAATTGACTAAATGGCACTAATTCTGAATGCTCTGCTTTAGAATTTTAGGAGCCACTTTTGGCCAAAAAATAAAGACCGCTAGATGGCGCTGATCCAAATAATTATTACTTCTTAAATAAGAGCCATTTAATCAATTATAAATCAGCCGCAACTAATGTAATAGATAGATAATAAACAGTTATTATTTTTGTGCTATTTGCGGCAATTTACTATTTTTCTTTTACCTTAAAATTGACCTCCAAAAATATAGATATTCAAATGGTTTAACAAAATCGACCATATGGCATTACTTAGTAGTAATTACTTTAATTACTACACATAACTTCACGTACATCTTACACCGTGCTCTCTTTACCAGAATGATAAAATCAGAGGCTGTAAAGTTACGTAGGTTGTGGTGGTAACGCCGCTTAATATCATATAATATGAAATTAATAATTTAAAATTAAAACGTACAATATTTTCAATTAGCGCTATCTAGCGGTATTCATTTTTTGCTATTTTGCTAAAAGTTTCTTACCTCAGACGCTCAGGCCTCACCGAGACTGAGCAGGCCGCCTCAGACTCAGATCAGACCTCACCTCCTCACCTGGCTCACTTTTTGACTTTTAGCAAAAGCAAAAAAATGAATGCCGCTAGATAGCGCTGATCCGCATAATTTACATTTTTTAATTTAAAAATAACCGGTGTCTTATTTACACTATGATTTTTTAACTGTCAAGTCGTAATGATTGTTCAACTCTTAAGCATAGCTAAAATATAGTTATTGACAATTTACATCATCGTTCAACCACTTTAGTTTAGCTGTTATAACTTTCGTTGAAAATTGTTTTGGATTATTTTTATAAGTCTAGCCATGAGTCTGTCGAAGATTATAACAAGTGAAATGTATTGAAGCTCATTTGTAATAGTTTTAATTTTAGCTCTTTCAACATACGGTGCGGTTTTTTTTTTTTTTTTTTTTACTTAAAATACAAAATGTACACAAACACACTCTATACTCCTACGCAAAACGCAAAAAATGATACAAGAAACACACACAAATACGCGCTCTGCGCTCTCCGTGTGCCGCTGCCGCACGCCACGTCGTCCGCATAAGTAGAAGAAGAAAGTGAGGCTGCTGTAAAGGAAATATCACATACATGAAACACATCCCCTTTTTACCCCGCACTTCTTCCCGCTCCCTCAGCGCGCTGCCGAACGGCAGTAGTAACATCAGCGGTTTACTTAACTTTCGTGTGTGTTGTTTGTGTATCCATTAGCCCCGTGATTTTTTCTTTATCCCCGTAGACGAGTGACCCTATCAACCCATAAAACTTTCGAGGAGTTAATCATCGTCGTCATCGTCGTCGTCTTCGGCGACTGATTGATTGGTGAAAAAAAAAACTTGGCAGTCGAAATGGTGAGCATACTTACGTACTTCAATTTTACAGTCGTGGGTGCCCCAACCCCAACGTAATGCAACAATTGTTCTCGTTTTGATCATCACTCTCTCCTCGCGTAGCAGCGATCAAGACAACTCCAAGAGTTATTTCATATTCTTTGTTGACGCTTTTGTCAACAACTTGTTACTCATGATTTGACTAAGTTTTGATCGAATGGTCAAATTATATCCTCACATACCATCTGTTTGATTGTCAAAGAAACTTAAAGGACAAATTTCGGAGTCGCAGAGTAATCATAGCTCGTATTTTTGGTGTTGCTCGTTTTTTCATAATGTGCATAGCCGAGGCTTGATGAAATTAATGTTTAAATGATACGTCAAACAATAATGATGACAATCATGATGTTTTAGCCACTGAGACTGGACATCAAGCGCAAGCTCACAGCGAGGTCTGATCGCGTGAAATGCGTCGACCTACATCCTACCGAGCCTTGGATGCTCTGTTCGCTGTACCAGGGCAATGTCAACATCTGGAACCACGAAAGTCAGACGCTTGTCAAGACCTTCGAGGTTTGCGATCAGCCTGTCAGGGCAGCCAAGTTTGTGCCAAGAAAAAACTGGGTGATCACGGGCTCGGATGACATGCAAATCAGAGTTTTCAATTACAACACCCTTGAGCGTGTGCACTCCTTTGAGGCACACAGTGACTACGTCAGGTGTATCGTCATTCATCCCACGCAGCCTTTCATCCTCACCAGCAGTGGTTCGTATTTTATTTCAAACTCTTTCCCTCTAAATTGCAGATATGTTATAACATTGAAAATTAATTTTCAGATGATCTGCTGATAAAGCTTTGGAATTGGGAAAAGGCATGGCTCTGTCAACAGGTGTTTGAAGGCCACACTCATTACGTCATGCAAATAGTCATCAATCCCAAAGATAATAACACATTTGCCAGTGCATCTCTTGATAGGACCCTGAAGGTCTGGCAATTGGGTTCGTCCACCGCGAACTTTACGCTTGAGGGACATGAGAAAGGCATCAATTGTGTCGATTACTATCACGGTGGGGATAAGCCTTACTTGATCTCTGGTGCTGACGATCGTTATGTCAAAATATGGGATTACCAAAACAAAACGTGTGTACAAACTTTGGAAGGCCACACTCAAAACATATCAGCTGTTTGTTTTCATCCCGAGCTGCCCATTATTTTAACCGGCTCGGAAGATGGTACAGTAAGAATTTGGCATGCTGGTACTTACAGACTGGAATCACCATTGAACTATGGTTTTGAGAGATTGTGGTCGATTGCTTGCATGAAAGGCTCAAATAATGTTGCTCTTGGTTACGACGAGGGTAGCGTTATGATAAAAGTGGGTCGCGAAGAGCCTGCTGTGTCCATGGATTCATTAGGTGGTAAGATAGTCTGGGCCAAACACAGCGAAATTCAGCAAGTGAATCTCAAAGCTTTAGGTGAAGAGGTTCAGGATGGCGAGAAATTGCCATTGGTCGTGAAAGACATGGGTGCTTGTGAAATTTATCCTCAAACCATACAGCACAGTCCAAATGGAAGGTTTTTGGTGGTATGTGGTGATGGAGAATACATCATTTACACCTCAATGGCGCTTAGAAACAAAGCTTTTGGCCAAGCATTTGAATTCGTTTGGGCCTCAGACTCCAGTAATTCCAGTTATTATGCGGTAAGAGAAAGCTCTACGACCGTCAAAGTATTTAAGAATTTTAAAGAAAAGAAGAGCTTTAAGCCGGACTTTGGAGCTGATAGTAAGCTTATAAAATCATCATTGATTTTAATAATCGTTACTGGAAACATTTTTTTTTTTTTTTTAATTTACAAAATTTTTCTCGTAGGTGTTTTTGGCGGCTTTTTTCTGGGCATATATTCGAGTTCAGGTCTCTCGTTCTACGATTGGGATACACTGAAGCTCATACGTCGCATTGAAATTCAGCCGACCCATGTTTACTGGACAGAGAACGGTTCTCTTGTTGCACTTGCTACGACCGACCAGTATTTCATCCTCAAGTACGTTGCCGAACTTGTCGAAGAATCCAGCGAAAATGCAGAGGATATCGAAGGAGCTTTCGAGGTATTTACTTATTTACTGTAATGTAACGAGTAATTTTTACGTATTTATTATGTTTCACGTGGTTTTTGTAATTGTAGATAATTGCAGAAATGAACGACGTAGTAAAGACCGGTTTGTGGGTCGGCGACTGTTTCATTTACACAAACAGTGTAAACAGAGTAAATTACTTTGTTGGAGGTGAAGTCGTCACCATATCACATTTGGATAGACCAATGTACTTGCTGGGCTACGTTCAAAAGGACAATAGATTATATCTATGCGACAAAGAACTGTCTGTGGTATCTTATTCGTTACTATTGTCTGTTTTGGAGTACCAGACTGCCGTAATGCGAAAAGATTTTGAAACTGCGAACAAGGTGCTACCCACTCTCCCCAAAGAGCATCGCACTCGTGTCGCTCATTTCCTAGAAAAACAAGTAAGTAAGCCCATGAACTTGCATTCATTCGCATCTTTGACAATATTCAATTTTTTCAATTGATATACATTTTTTTCCAGGGTTACAAGGAACAAGCTCTTGCAGTGTCGACAGATCCAGAGCACAGATTCGAGCTTGCTCTGTCCCTCAAAAATCTCGAAACGGCATACGAACTCGCGAAAGAGGCCAACATTCAGCAAAAATGGCGTCAACTAGCTGCTCTGGCGACGCAGCAGGGAAAACTCCGCCTTGCTCAGGAATGCTTGCACAATGCCGAAGATTTTGCTGGGCTTCTTCTTCTTGCGACAAGTACTGGCAACGCGAACATGGTTGAAAAATTAGGTAATTAAACTTACCTACCTTTTAAACACTCTGATACTTAACGTGCAACTTAATATGTCCTTTTTATTACTGCAGCAACCTCTTCTGACGACGCTGGAAAAAATAATATCTCATTCTTGTCGTACTTCATGCTCGGCGACATCGATAAGTGCCTAGACATTTTGATCAAGACCGATCGGATACCGGAGGCGGCATTCTTTGCCCGGACATACGCACCGAGCAAAATTTCGCCCATAGTTAAATTGTGGAAAGAAAAACTGTCAGCAGTAAATGAAAAAGCTGGTCAGAGTTTAGCAGATCCAGAACAGTACGAGAACTTGTTCCCTGGCTACAGAGAGTCGTTGGAAGTTGAAAAATTCATGAGGGAAAAGTACAAGAAGCGCATACCCGCTTCGTCGTACCCTACTTTAACAGTATGTAAATTTAGTTCAAGGATCTTCATGATCACTTTTGCATTGGAAAATTTTTAATGTACAAAATGTTAAAACTCTGATCGTTAATTGCAGCCAAATATTAAGCGAAACGCTAAAGAAGAGTATTTAGCGGAAATGGGGGAAGCGTCGTCGAGTCACAGTGATGAACCTCATCCTATAGAGAATGGTGGAGATGATGTGGCAGCGATCACAAATATTTTAAATAACATCGGCATTGAAAACCAAATGTCAGCGTCGACAATTACAAAGACAGTGCCTGGCAAGTCCTTGAGCACTACGAGACCACTTACAGTCGACGACGATGATCTTGATCTCGATCTCGAAATTGATGAGAACATTGACACTAGTGTAAGTTCATTGTCTTGTTTCGTGAATGTTTTTCGTATACTTTATGAATGGTCTTCAATAGAATGTTTAAAAAAAGTCATTGCATCGTCATTAATGTGTATGTGATTTCAAGCAATGGGAACAATTTTATTTTCTTGTTAATTGGCAAATTTTTTTGCATGCGTTGGTTTTACACAAACAGGTACAACCAAAACGTTGATGTAAGTACTAAATTTGCAATCGTGAGTTTTTAACGTTACACAAGTATAAAAGTAGAAATTATTCCAAACATTAACTTGTTAACACTTTTTAAAATATTTGCGTGTATTACCTATTAGAAAAGTAGAATTATATAATGTAGATATTCTTATTTAATTTAGATTTATTCTTATTCTAATTGTATGTCATGTAGGTTCTTACAGTAGATAAATCAGTAACAATTGTACTTACCAAGTTTTATTTTAAAGCTAAATATTAATTCACGAAAAATACATTTTGTTTACAGGATGTCAATTTAGATGATGAAATTCTGGATGACTGATGAGGAAAATTGAAAACCAAATTCAACTAAAAGTAATTATAAAACCAGCATATTCAATGGACAAGGAGCACTAAATGAACGAGGCACATGAATAACAAGTGAGCTCTGTTTGGCAAAGTTCTCGAGAGACATTCGTTTTTTACCACATGTCATTCCTCGCACGGGAAACTTAGATGTGGAGTCTAAACAAGTCTAAAAGTGTCATTAACACAAGTGCATTTTTTTAACACTATACGACCGTGTGCACGCCGCGTAAGCGAGGGAGGATGGCTCTGTGGCTCATTGTAAAAAGAATGATTAACAAAATAAAAATAAAAATCGAGATTCTCGATGCCGTCCTCGCCTCGCCTTCACACAAACTTTTGTGTCTTAACGTTATTTCGCCTCTTTTTGTAAGATCGCGTATGATGTCTCGCAAAGTGCGTGTGCGTGTGTGTGTGTATGAGTATGTAATGTTAAACTTTTACATCTAAAGTCTTGCGTACGCGTGGCGCTATTATTATTACAGTGAAATAATAGTTATATGAATATATAACTACAATACATACATTTACATATATATAAAAATGAACCAAGGCACGAGGAATAATGATATTTCCTCTATCTTGTTGCTAAGACAAAAAGAAAATGGTGTAAGAATTTTGTCACTTTTTTCATTCCACAGACAAGACGCTGATGTCCCGTATTACTTACTCTCAAATTATTTTGTGTAATTGATTTTTTTTTTTTTTTTCCTGTTACAACAGTGTTTTTATAGAGTAATATACATTGTTTTGTAATGATATGGGATTCTGAATATTTTAAATATACGAGAGGATATTTTTGAATGGGTGATTGAATTCTGCATAAAGCAGAGCATCAATTGATTCGATTGACTGTAGAAATTGTGAATTTTATGAATTATATTATATTCTTATCGTTATTTTAATAAATTTCTTAATGTATATTATATTTTGCATCTTTGATTTGAACACTTTTCCTTTGTAAAATCTTTTATAATTATCTTTTTCATTCGTTAGGAAACCATAAGTAGTTTATTCACTCAATTTTAACTTTTATTAAATGAAATATTTTAATATCTTATAGACGATTTTTTTTTTAGATTACAGAGAAGTTACAAAATCATGGATGAACTTGAAGTGCTTAAAGTCTTAAAATATTATCCATACACATATATTCAGTATTGTCTAGTATCTATCGATAATCTACCATTTTATTGATCCATTTAACCAATAACCAATACCAAATACAGATCAGTACCATCTTGCGAGACTATTTACAAACTTACGAACCAAAATACTAGGTACGTATAAACGTATTTTTTTTAGCTGAAGAAAGACGATTTAGACGATCACTATAATTCCAAATATCTGCTCAGTCACTTCTTAATCTGAAGTTGGAGCCTGAATTGCCTGATGGAGCGGATGGTACTTATCATTGCAATTTTCATTGTTATACTTAAACTTTAGAAAAAAAAGGGTAATTCAAATTGCCTTGTGCCGAGCAAACAGTTTTTATACTATGACGTTTTGTCTTAACCTGCGAAAATTATGTCGTGACAATTTTTCTAGACTAGCTCGTGGGGATTGAATTGGTATTGGATGCGTCACTAATGAATCAACAATTCGTTAGAGTTTCAGCATTTACTTTTCACTTTACTTTTTGGCTGTCTTTTTGAAGAAGCACGTTGAGATATTTGGGTCTTGCTTGCAACTTTCTGTAAACAATGGAGGACGTGTCGTGCCTATTCTGCGACGAACCCGTCAATCCCGAGGAGGATAAACTCCTCATGACTGAAAAAAGGCGACAAACTTTCAAAAACGCGTGCCGTGAGCGAAAAGATGTCTTTGATCGTAGAGTAAAGGTGGACGAATGCGTAGTGCGTACACAAAAAGTGTTACAAGACCTACACGCATTCCAACAACATTGCTGCAGCTAAAAAATTGGACAAACCAAGACCATATCTACTCGCGCGCAAACCTCAACGGTCGATGCTAGTGTCATATTGTGTGTTTTTTGCAACGGCGACGACGCGTCCGATGTATTTAATTTCCAAAGAGCAGCAAAAACCAAAAGCGAAACGGAATTCTGTCATCGAGGCAACCGACCCCTTCAGACTTGACGCTTCATCGCGCGATGATGCATCAGCGCTCAAACAACGTCTCGATACGATAACTCTGCCCAACGATGTTTTGCGATACCACGCCAAGTGTCACCGAACTTTTCTTCGTCATTACGTTCCAAAACCGCGCGATACACCGACTTCTGACCCCATTGTTCGATTCGTCATTGATCACTTACAAAATATAATAGAGAAGAATGTCAATTTTCTCTAATTGTCATACTGAGACAGTATAATTGGCCATTGGTCGATTTGCGTGGTGTTGTTCAGAATTTGGAAAAGTACGGAGACAAAATAGTGGTAACGAAAAAGCACGGAAAGGACAGGATTATATCGTTGAAAGACACCGGTGCTGACATACTCACGGAGCATTGGTATACGCAAACCGCGAGGAAAACGGATCGTTCAAACGGCAATCGTGATTATTAACGAGGGTATACGATCACGCAGAGGCTCATCCGGTGCCGGACCGATTTCTCGAAGACGCCGAGCGAGACATACCAGAATCCCTGAAAATGGTCACTGATGGCATAGTTCTGAAGAACAAAAAAAAAATGATCTTGTCAAGTGGCGGGTAAAATCGATCGAGCCATCGCACATTGTTTGTTAGCCGCCACCCGACCTCGATCTTTCCAGTCCTCCATTCAAAATGTTTTGGCATCGCTGTTGCACAGCAAAACGGAGTCGAAGGACGTTGGCCGTTTATTGTCAACTCTTGGATTCTGCTCTACTAACCAAGACAGTGTTGAAGACCATCTTGAACAGGAAGTAGTTGAATCCATGCTAAGGAAACCACGATTTCTGTAGCTTATAAGCTAGTTAATTTGTATTTTTGTACCAAAATATATTTATATCGGTATACATATATTATCATTAAAAAAAAGAAAAGATTTTCGATTCGAAACGAAGAAAAATCACGTCAAATACTATAACAGCATAGTTTTTAGTTGAATAATTTCAAATGCGTTGAAGGAAAACATTTTCGATTACTCTAAAATTAAAGTACTTCAATTCAGAAAAATTGACAACGATTATTTCGTCAAAAGGATATATATATATGACAACTGTATTTTCAATAATATTTGTTTTCTAAATCAATGCATATTCAATAGCATTCGCATCATTTTTATTCACCGTTCAACTTCAAAACTGTTGCCGAAGGACACAACAATGTGTTTTGCACTCCCGAATAAGCGCAAACGGCTCTCAATAGTTTCCAGCGTCTATCAACAACCACAGCTTGCATCCGGCGATTATTTTCGTCGACTTGAACGACGTACGCTCTCTACTCTTTCGAAAGTCCACTAAAAAGTCAAAAAGAGCTCCCGCGCTACTTGCGTCTGAAAAAATCGAGCATTTAGCACGAGCGCCGTACGTGACGTTCACCAAAACATTGGAAGCTAATAAAGTATTTTTGCGCGAGAGACATGCGAGTCAACTGAAGTTTATTTTAAAAACTCATGATGTGCTCTAATCGGTACTTAAATTGAGAATAAAAATTAAAATTATGAATTTTTCGTACAACATTCAATGAAATATATTTCTCAAGCTCCTTCGTCAAATATAAAAATAACTGGAAGTAGTTTCAACTTTCTTTACGTCAAAGATTCATGTGGTACTTGTTAAGTTGCAAACTATTGGCATCATTTGATACTACCATTTTATTCTCGTTTGTCTTTATCCTTCTATAAAACTAATTGAAGGGAAAAAATCAACTACTTAGATTAATGCGTGAAGCAGTTATTTATTAGAAGCATTTTTTTTTAATACAAAATATACAAATGCATACTTTTGCAAGGCACTTGCTTAATATTACAACTCTGATAATTTATCACAATAAATTAACAAATATTTCATACATATTTATTTTTCTTCTCTTGGTAAGTAATGAAAATATTTTTTAGATATAAATAAAAACATACATTATCACGCGTGGTAATACGTCTCTTTGACTTACTTATTGCTTTGATCCGACATAAAATTAGACAAATATAACGTGAACTTTAAATATTTTTCAACATTTTCTTTGTTAGTTATTTTTACAAAATTACAAACAACACTATATCCTAACGAGTACGAGACTTTTTTGTTCCTTTGGTGTTAATAGCAGCTAATCTAATTATTAGTTTTCTTATGTCATTTCTTTTTTTTTTTATTATATCAGTACTAAACCAGTGGGTAAGAGGTTTTTTGAGCGAGCACAATGAATTTGTAGCAACAAAATCCTGAAATTATTAATTACCAGTTTATTTAACCTCAGAGAATAATAAATTAAAAAGTATTGGATTACCTCAAAAAAATGTTCTATGAATTGCAACAGATATACGCCACAATCACTTGCGTTAGTCTGTTGAGGCACATCTGCATGAAATATTTCCGTATTATCGAAAAATAATTCATTTCCATTGTTTTTCTCTTTGTATTCGCATTCCAAATAATTTTTCAAATCCTGTATTACCCTTGTCTTTCCAATAGTAAAAGAAGTCAACGAATCAAAAATTATAATACATGGACTGAAAACAAATTGTTACTCTGTACAGTAGGGTTCAAACAACCTTTTTTGAATTTTAGAATTCTTATTTAAAAAACTTACTAATGGTTTGAACCATCTGAACATTCCGATTTACTATCATTCGGATCCATTCCAAATAATGCAGGATAGCAAATAACAGCCGAAAACCAATGCTTACTGTAAATATTTAATTAATATTTTAATCAAACAATCTAGCAAAAGTGAAAATTTTTCGAAATGTAATTTTGAAGACAACTTACTCTAGATTAATAGGTATTATTATGAACTCTTTTTCGAAAATATTTATATTTTTGGTCCACCTTTTAACTTCTGCGTGTTGTATATCTGCCAAACTCATATTTGCATTTGTCAATGTACATTTGGGATTCGAGAGTTTTGTATAAAAAAAGGTATTGAAAATGTATGTTCTTTCTTTATCTTGATCCGATAATTTTTCCAAAGCAAAATATTTTAAATAAAAATCTATAATTATGTCGTTCAGGAACTGGCCCTGATTCAGGCATTTAAAGTCTTCTGTTGTAACAGTAATCCCATACTTCATAGGCGGTTTAGGATACACTAAAATACTGATTCAAAATTTTAATTACATACAGTTTGTTAAAAAAAAGATTACATTCTAATAATCAAGACTTCGTATTTACACTTGTGCATTTCTTCGCAAATCCAGTGTGAGACATTGGTCAGAACTCTGCACTTCTATTATCTAAATCATAAATAAATTAAAATTCAGTGTTTGTTTTTGAATATGCAAGTATTAATCACGTGTACATACATCATCGCTGCTTTTTGTCGAAACAGAACAAGATGAATCAGACGAGCTTCTTCTGCGTTTTCGTCTAAAAAACCAAAATATGCCATAAAATTGCACATTACCAACATAATTAATGCAAAGATAACAAAATTTTTCATTAGAATTAAAGCTTACAATTTTTTCATAGGACTGCTAGTTTCACTAATCACAGCATCGTCTATTATTTTCGGATTCGTTGTTTTTCGTGTGTTAATGACATATCTTACATTGTAAATGGGATCATCTTTTACTAAGTAGGTACAAACAATTTCTTCTTCGTGCAATCGTGATCTTAACTAAAGATAAAAATGTTTAAAACCAAACAATCGTCAAAATTTGTATAATCACTTTGGAATTAACAGAAGCATCTTATTTTCTAAGATAAAGTGTGATCAAAATACAAAAAAAATTACCATCATTAAAAGATGTTCAACCTTCCAACTGAAATGACATTCCTTAGGCAGCTGAAAATCAATCAACCACTGGTATCCATTATCAGGGGCAACAAGCACCTTTACCTGATCCTCATCAGGTTTGCGACAAATTGGCGCTTCAGCAGGTTCATCTATCCTCATTGACTGGAGTATATGAATACTTCCAGAACTATTACAATCGCACTTATTGGCACCCTCCTCCTGTTCCTCCTCCTCTTCTAACTCGTGCTCTGGATGCACCATCCTTTTTTAATGCTAGAATATCTTGCCTTACACGTCTTCGAGTTAACCAGCTCGACTGAAAACGGAAATGTGATCTGTACACGCGTTGATTAAGTGATATAACGCTGAGGACCATTCATGGTCGTGTTCCGAGTACTTTATTTACTTTAAGAAAAGATATCTGGATATGGAAAAGGTAAAGACTTGCTTTATTGAAAAAAAATTCATCAACTAGATGTAAATTTTTATTCCAATGATATTACCACGGATTTGGCTTGCTTAAAAAAATATATTTACGTACATTATCAATGAGTGTTACATTTACGACATTTAAAGATCCCTTCTTCAAAATCTTTTTTTCCTTGTTTGTTCATGTATAGGAAATTTCTGAAGTTAGGTGATAACAAATCATAGAATATATATTTCAAAGCTTCCTTATAGCAATTAATTTAGCGCAATTTGTGAATATTTTATTATGCCTATTTTTTTTGTACAAGTAGTGTTTATCAAAATAAGTCACTTTGTAAATCAAACATAAATAATTATTCATAAATACTTAACGATTAACAAACCGAATTTAATAATGACAATATCACATTATAAAAAGACAGTAACATTGTTCAGTAGTACAAAGTAATGGACGTGTAAGTATACATAAGAAAACAAACTTTAAGTCTAATAACTTAGAATGCACGCATTTTATAAATCTTTTTTTTATCAAAACAATTTTTTTTTTTTTTTTTAATACTAATTAATTAGATTTTGTTACTACTAAAAATAATTTATTTCGCAAATAACTACAGTTTCTTTATTTTAAACGAACCCAACAGTTTTGGACCAGCTATTCTGTTATCCTGTAATTAAATTAAAGACCGTTGTTATTAACTAATAATGAATTATTGATACAAAAGTTTTGAAAGAAAAAAGTTAGTTGATTAGTTGAAAAAAAAAAACAAAATTCATTTTTACTTCTGATCAAATATTCATCAAGGATTTCACTATTTTGACTCGAGCATGTTTGCTTTTATGGTATTAGCAATAAGATAAGTAAGTAGAAAAATTCGGAAATAATTTTTAAAAATTATTCTCAAGTTGATTTAATGCACTAACAATCTCACCTAATTTAATATAGCCAGCAACATGAATCTATTGCAAATGAACTGTCGCTCTTTTGCTGACAACTAAATAAGTAAAGCAAAGCTTGAACAAAAATTTATTTTCGAACCCATCAGCTTACTAAGAGAAAAAATTTGGCCATAGATATAGATACCTGTGTGATCCACACTCACATTTTTCTCTTAGTCACTGCATAAAAAGGAATAAGTAATAGAATTTTATTACAAATGACTGCAGTGTGCAGAATATACGATGTGTATGCACGAGAAATATTGCTTGTATATAATATATGTTCTTAATTATTTCGATCTTCTAAATGAAAATTGTGATGGTATAGATGACTGAAATAATGACAGGAAAATCGTTAAAAACGAATCTAATAAAAAAAATTTCGATAATTAATTTATCTGGCTTGTTAAGATTGTTATGAGCAAAAAATGTTAATAACCCATTTGAAAGGTTATCAAATTTTCAGGTTCCGGATTTCATTTTTTTTTTTTACAACACTGTGTGTCTAGCATTTGTTTTACGATATAGCCCACAACAAATTTTTTTTCACCTTGAAACCAACAAATCAAGACTTGGTAAAATAAGATCACGAAATAATATAACATAATAGAAACATAAGATCACGTAACAATTTATCATAAGCAAGGGGACGACGATATCATATATTATTATAAATAACCACGTGACCTTACTTTCCGAACATTTCGAAATTGCCCCTCTATGGTGTTTGTTTATGTGAAAAAGGATATAATTGTACAGTATATTTTACCTGAGGACCTAGTTGTGTTTGTCATTTAGGAGATCGAATTTTTTGAATTAGTTTAAAAAATAGCAACAAATAAAGAAAATCTGTATATAGGTACTTAATCAACAAATTATCAACGTGGAAAGCTGTTAGGAAACCATATAGAAATCCGAAACTTAAAAAAAAAAAAAGTGTAAGTGTTATTTACTTATCCTAAAAATACTTATTAACTGTACTTTGCAATTTGCATGGTGACAATGTTACTTGTATTGATATATAAAAGGTACATGATGTATACGTATTTAATCAAGCACAAAGTGTGTACTTTTATATCATATATAAGTACTTAACAGATAATATTAATACACGAGGTGGATTATAACGGTATGGGATTGCGATTTCGTCATCGCCTGTTATGTTATTTTAGATAAACTTGTTGCCTGGCACACACCGGCGGCGGCGGTTAGCGTGGTGGTTTGCAAATTTTAAGGACGTTCGATAGAGATAGCGGGGGGTAACCACTTGCAGGGCAAGGGGGAAGTAGCGATGAGTGAAGACTTGGCATCGCCGCACGGGTCTCCAATGTGTGACTGTCATGTACACACATATATACACACATCAGTGCTGCGTTGGTTACGGCAGCGTATGTGTATATTTGTAATGTATTTGTGCTAAAGATGTAAGCATTTGATTTTTATTCGTTATAACAATGTAATAAAAATGAGTAAATAATTAAAAAGACTTGTGACAGATATATGTTGTACATACAATTATATTCGTAGCTAATGTAAATAAAATTCTTGAATTTTTATGTCATTTGAAAAGTCTCATTGAAAGTGATATGTTAAATAATTAGGACAGACCGACAGACTCTAGTCTCTGCGATTACTACAAGCATGTGATTTTGTTATCTTGTGTAAAAAAATTTCATTGTATAAAAATTACAAACTAAAAACTTTATTAAGAAAAATAAATATGTGTTATTATAATACAATGTTTTGTTATGGGTACGGGTGGAACCTANGTATACATACGTACATACGTACGTATACGTTTATTCGTTCTTTGTTTGCAATTAATATTATTTATGAGATTAATCATCAACGATTTCGAGCATAATTGAAGCAATAAATAGTACAAGTAGTTCAGAAGTTGGCAGTTGCTCAAATAGTAATAACAACAAGTGCGACAGATTGAAATCTCTCTCGTTCTCAATTTGTTTTCTATACATGACTCTCCGTTAATATATGCGTACACGAGCAATAAAAATGAATCACTGAATGGACTCAAAATGACTGATTTGTTTAAACTACCGTATGAGAGTTTTGAGCACGGAGAATAAAATTAATTTATATGTATATTCAAGTACCCTCGCAATTTATTTACCGAACTTTGAAATTCAATATCTCGAAAACGAAACAGACGAACCTCTTGAAAATATAACAGCTTCATTGTAACAACAATAAGAACGTCTGGTTAAAATTTCAAAAAGATTCATCACAGGGTTCTATCTCTACCGAACGTCCTTAACTTTAGCTCATGCCTCATGCATACTTATGCGGTAGATACAGGTGTTATCACGATTAGATTATAATAAAAAAATATCGTATACGCAATTATGTTTGTAGTTCTCTTAGCGCGTATGTATCTTATTTAAATTTCATTTGTTTACACGACTCTGTGCATGTATCCAAGGGCAGTATCTCTCGATTTTCCGAATATACATATATATATATATATATATATATATATATGTATTCTATGCGTTGTGAAAAGAGAAGAGTACATTGACACCATAATAAGTACGCGTGTCTTGGAAAAAATTTTTACCAGGTTCGAAAGATGGAAAAAGAAAAATCAGTCAAATGGGCAGAACCTTTAATTACCTTTATCTATCCCTGTAGAAGTTTCTCTGTGTGACAAAATATTCGAGCACACTCGAATCGTCTCTCTTTCTCTCACTTATCAGCTCTCGCGCATCACCTTCAGTGTTTGATCTACCAACTAAAACTAGTCGGTCAATCACACATTCGAGGAAACTCAGCCGGTACGATACTACAAGTTAATGAAATTCAAGTCACGATTGAAGATGTTCCTCTTTCTCTCGCAGTACTTACGTACTTATCTATACGTAACTATATGATAAAGCGTATCAGATGATGATTATTCGAGCCGATTCCAACGATGAGTGTCGCATTGCGAAACATGTGTAGTATATGTACTTATTATGTTATGTACGAAAGAATTAGCAAAGAGACGCGCCCTGCCTATACATTGCAATGTTTACATCAAACGCCACTGTATAATAGTTAGTTATAATACTGAGACATGTACCACAACTCACGATTAGACGATGCCCATCAGCACGACGACTGACATTTTACCTGCTTGTTTACTGATATGAAAAAAAAAAAGAAAAAAAGAGTAGAACTGGAGAAGTAAAGAAAGAGTGCCCTACGCATGCGCGAATTTCCAGGGGCGAAAGGTGGAGGGAGGAAAAAAGTAAAGGGTGTGCGTGCAGCGTGGGTGTGCATACAAGTTGTCAGCAGGTGCCAGGTAGATGCACCTCTTTGTAAAAGACACCCGCGATGACGACAACCTCGGCTGTGGGCATGTTATTTTTTGTACACTAACTACTCTAAGGTAATTAGGCTTGTCTGCCTGCCTGTGGGAGAGGGAAGTCCATAAACGTATTGATTTCTCTGACACTTCCGGTGCAACATTACCATTCTATTTAAATCAAATGCAAATTAAAAAAAAATTTTTTTTTATCAAACCTACACTCAAATCGCATGAGGACTATGTGGAGTGAAGAACTGACTATGTTAAAATAAACGCCTTCACCACATGGGCAATTATTAACAATAATTCTGTGTTGCCTACATCAATTCTCAGATTTCATAAAATGAAGTTGTCAACACAGTGAAATTTTAATTGATCTAGAGCATTGTTAGTTACGTGTATCAGCCATCATGTTTTAAAGATAAAAAAAAAAAATTTATTGATTTGTGAAAAAAATCATTGTCTAAAGTAAAAAAAAAAATTATCTTACATTTTGTTGATCACGGTTAATAATTTTTTTTCAAAGAACAGACGGTCACAAAAAAAAGTCATATTTATACATTTCTTTAAATTATTTTACACGCTTTGACATATTACATTTACTCTTGTCAAATATTGATATCCATGATGTATGTTAGAAATTAAATGTAAAGTTAATGGATTATGTGATAGGTATACTGAAAATAATACTTACAGTGGAAATTGATATAGAATAGAATGGATCCGACACGTTAGGTATTGCATAAGAAGGTAATGCCAATTTCATAATTTTTTGCGCTCTTGACTGTTGAGTAGCTGGCGTTGAAAAAATTCTGTTTCTTTTGACAGGACTTCCTGATGCTTCTTCTAAATCTACTGTTTTGTTGTGTGCCTTGTATAACTTTTTACCCTTCTTCAATGTATTACTGGGAAGGCAGTATGGTGGTGATCCACAATTTACTTGCTCAGACGTCTTGTGCTTTAAAGGTGGTTCATCCATCAATGGAGAATTACTACTGTTTGCATAACATGGAGTAGTCTTTTGTGAGCCCAAAAATAAGGTCTTCACACTTAGGGGGGAGTTTTTATTGCGAATAAAAAAAGATTTAGTGTCTAATGAAGGCAATTTATTTTCCTGAACTGTTGAATCGTCTGACGGTTTCAGGTGAAGTGGCACAGATTCTTCGTCCGAAGATGATTCACTATCAAATAGTCTCAACTTGGAGGATTTCTTTTTTTTTCCAAAGACTTTTGTATCCTCGTAGTTCGGCATGGCTACGTGATTTTTCTTTGTTATCCAAGTCATCTCTTCATTGTCATCTGACTCAATTCTGTAGTCCACCAGACATTTTTTCTTTTGAAATTCAATGCTTGGTAACTCGATACTTTCACCTTTATGAAAGTCTGTGGCCAACTTGCCAATTAAGTTTGCAATATCTTCCCGCTTGTGGTCAATGATTTCTTCAGTAAACCAGTCGCGTAAGTCAATACGTGGTTCTGTATAATCCTCAATTGGGACCTACAAAAGAAAATTTTTTCTTTAGTATTTTAAATTATCACTTTAACGAAAATAACTGTAAAAATCGTACTTTGAAAAAGTTCTCTACGTATTGTAGCACATACAATCCACAGTCTGTTGCATTAGACTGCTTCGGTATCTTAGGCCTTACAAGTCTTAAATTTGACGGTGAAAATAATTTTTTTTCACCTTTTTTGGCCAGATATTCGCAAGTCAAGTACCCTCGCAATTTATTTACCACCGCTGTTTTATTTGAATACAATGAGTCAAATACTAAAATACAGGGCCTATAAAATTATCAAAGCAAAAAATCTTCAATAACGTGTTTTTTCAAATTTATTAACTATTACATTGATATTTACCTTTGTTTAATCAATATTGCATTTACATTTTCGAAAGCAGGTACTTCATCATCATCATCATTATCATTATCAACAACTAAATAAGGAAAACAAATAATTACCAAGTACCAGTGTAGGCTGAAATTAACAAATTTATCATTAAATGCCATGTTGTCATCGTAACTTTTTCAAAATTACAATACTCTCTTACTTTTCATTCACTGGAACGATAATAAAATCTTTATCAAAAATATCAACATTTTTCGTCCATCTTTGCACGCCAGCATGCCGCCTCTCATCTTCACTTGCATAATTAGAACTATCATCATTCTGATACGGTTTAGCAAAACGTGTATAAAAATGAGAACTAAAAACGTGTGTTCTTTGTCTATTAGCTGGAGATAGAACCTCGTGTGTCAAGTAGGATAGATAAAAATCAATGATCACATCATTGAGAAACTCATCATTTCCAAGACACTGATAATCATTCAAGTTGATAGCTATTCCACCTTTTTCTGGTGGTGGTGGGTAAATTGCTAATCTAAAATTAATTTATACTTGATAATATAGTATTTAAATTAATCACTGGTAATGATATTTAAACTTACATATTTGATTGGCTACGTTTTTTTGATTTATTTCCAATCTATAACAAAGAAAATAACCAAATAATCGGTACATTTTATTCAAGATATAACGTTCTAAGTTAAATAATTAAAATTATATATACTTACAGGGGAGCTGTTATTTAACTGGACTGTGTTTGTTGATGTTTCATAATCATTTTCCCCAAGAGCACTGAAAATAATTTTTTTTCAAGTAATCTTCAATAAACGTTATTATTAATGAAAAAAAAAAAAAAAATTATTCTTACGGTGAATTTGATCTAGAACTTCGTATACTTTCCACACTAGGAGCTCTGACGATATTGCTTTTGCTTTGTTCATATGTTGTATCTGATTCATTTTCTTTATCAGATAAACTAAGATAATTTACTTTGGTGGATGCCTGTGAATTCTGTAACACAGAAAATAAAGTGTTGTTAGAAAATTAGCAAGAGAAATTTATGTGCAAAATAACTACCAACAAGGGCCTTTAAATGAAAAGTATTTTAAGTTTATAAATTGGTTAACCAAAATTAAGACTTGTAAATCAGCTTTCTTGACCAATAAAATACTTAATTAAATATCGATAATACTTAAACAAAAAAAATCTTACATTTAGTGCCTCATTTAATGTTCCTCTACAATGTTCACTGTCTTTTTTGATTTTGACAACATAGTCATGATTACACTGTAGGTCTGACTTACACTCTAAGTCTAATATGTAATGATTACAGTCTTTATCCTTGATTGCAGCACTTGCAGCCTGAAGCAAATTTAACATGCTTTACAAAGTTTACAACGTGCATTCGTATACTTGCATCATTCAAATTTTCGGAAAAAATACTAAAAGACATAATCGGGGAGATTAGTTAAAAAAAATATTGGTAACTTTGAATAAAACTAGGTAAATGTATACATGCCATTGTATCGTTTCTCAAACTAACGTCACACTCAAATACACAAGTGTTTTTTTTTTAGTTCAACACCATAATATACACTCGTTAAATATTAATACACCCATAGTAATCAAAACTAAACAGATTCAAAAATAAAAATTGTAAGATCGAAGCAAGAAGCTGCTGCTCAAAAATGTACCTACAAGAGAAGCGATAACAGAAAAAAAGCTCCACAAATAAAAATACCTACACATAGCACAGCGTGTCCCAAAAGTAACTGAATACCTCGTAAGTATATTGGAGTAAGTACTCACGGCCTGGACGATGTCGGACAAGTCGATGTCACTCGTCACGTCCATCGTGACCACGCTCTGATGGTTATCCGGAGACTCGTCGAACATCACCTTGACCGTGACTTCTTGCGTCTCGTTGGACTCACGGGGTTCATCAATTTCCAAGATTTCAAACTCAATTTGCGCGTCGTTGTCATCGTCCTCCTCGACGTCGAACAACTGATGTTCCGAGGGCTCTGACATCTCGCCCAGACTTTGTTTTCCTATTCTTCTTTATGTCACCGGGTCGAGTCACATCTTCCCTTGCACAACTTTTCTTACGTAAGCACGTGTTTTTTCTTCTTTCGAGTAAAACACTTTTTATTGACAACAACGTCAACCAAACTAGGGATACTTTTGCACGATAGCGCTATCTTAACCTTCAGCTTTAGAAATGAGGACACACACAGAGATGGTTGTTAATGAAGTTGAGCAGGCCCGTTGGGTAAACGAATCAATGATTATGCACTTGTCACTGTTTACATTTACGACGTACAAATTATAAATTGATGACACTGATAAATATTGATAATTGAAACGAAGAGATAAATACTTAGTCCGATTATTTTGCTTTCTGCATGAGGAATAGCTGCTGTGCGCCAGTTGTGCGTGAGGGTGGGGGGTCAGCGGGGCAAAACTTACTTTTTTAGTTGTCGGACAGTAGTGACACCAACGGTGGAAGATCAAAGTAACCACTGTTGGGCGGTTAATTATGAAAATGTCCGAAAGAAGGAGTCTCTGCAAAAAGTATTTTTTATACGTATAATAATCAATACTTACTAAACAATTTGCCGAACAAGAATAGTATTAATGTAGTCTTTTAAAATTTTTTTTCAAGCGATGAAATCTTTGATCGCATAGTGTCCTGAGAACGCCACTTCACTAAAAAGGGCAAGTTAAGAATTTTACGATTTTTTAAGTGGAATTTTTTTTCACGCTCGTAAAACTCGATATGCATGACGATGTAAGAGTAAAACGGCGTAATAATAATGGCTATCACGGGGTATTCTTGATGTATGCTGACTTGCACGTTTTTATATTAATAATCTCTCATAAAATTAAGTGCCAAGAACAATAAATTTCATATAATACGTTCTTTTAAGAGCGTTTTTATATCTCATAATGAAAAATTTTGTGTATACATACGTACATACGTACGTATACGTTTATTCGTTCTTTGTTTGCAATTAATATTATTTATGAGATTAATCATCAACGATTTCGAGCATAATTGAAGCAATAAATAGTACAAGTAGTTCAGAAGTTGGCAGTTGCTCAAATAGTAATAACAACAAGTGCGACAGATTGAAATCTCTCTCGTTCTCAATTTGTTTTCTATACATGACTCTCCGTTAATATATGCGTACACGAGCAATAAAAATGAATCACTGAATGGACTCAAAATGACTGATTTGTTTAAACTACCGTATGAGAGTTTTGAGCACGGAGAATAAAATTAATTTATATGTATATATAATTGAACCGCATGCCATGAGTGCCCCTAAGCACTTTTTTTCACCCTTTGATGTTTTTCTTTTCCTTTACAGAAGCGCTTGTCAAAAAAAAAAAAAAAAAAAAAGCTGTGATCTACTCAAATGCCGAAGCATCCTTTATTGTATCCTTCGATTTGTCCTCATATCAACTCGACTCTGAAATTACAAAATTACGAACGATTACCAAAAGGAGGCGTAGAGATATATCTTTCCAATCTATTTATATAAATATTCCCCCGCACCATGCATGTCCGTAAAAGTAGGTATTTGATTTGCGGAAAAACTCCCTCGATGGCTGCCGTGTGGGTGTGGATACTGTAGTGGATCGACAAAACGGATAATTTCGCGAGCCCGAGGCTTTTCCCCATTGGCTGGCGATCTCTGCGCCAGATAACACGCAGCTCTGTCCCGTCCCGCGTATACACATATAGGTATCGTCCTTTCTCTTTTGTACACTCTGAGAGTAGATGGCTGCTGCTGCATTAGGGCGGAGCTTTTGGGGACGCTTCTCGGAATACTGTATGTGAGAAAAGTGCATGAAAAATAATACTCGTGCAGTCACTGACTCATAAATTATTTATTCATTCGTTATATTGTGCACTACTTATGTTTAATTGTGCTATGTGTACCCTTGGCTTTTACTATATTATAAACATCATCGAAAGAACAACCGCTGTACTTTTGCAAAAGATCGATCACTTATCTCATTTACAGCAAAGCTTTTTGAAACTATTGTGTACATGTGTTTGATAATAATAGATATAAAATGTGAGCTTTTATTTTCTGTTTGTATTTCTAATTCGAGATTCTTACACGCAAGTAAAACATACGTAAGAAAAAAAAAAATCACAAACGAGACGTCTGATAAGTACTGTTTCTTTTTGTTTTCTCGCTAACGTAGAATAGTAATATAATAGTTATCATATAGAGTAATGAACAACTAAGTACATGTCTTGTTTTTTTTTTTTTTTTTTTTTTTTTTTTTTTTTTTCTTCTTTTTATCATCAAATCACGCATTTATCTTTTTTTATGAAATTACAACAAATTATCTGTTACATTATTGTAAATGGTGATTACACTTAGCATTAAATATCCCTTTACTTATCATTACGCTTATAGATATATTTATATAGTCATGAACATAAATCTTAAACGGTAGTTTCGCACTTTCGATACTTAACGGAACTAAAACATTCTCGCGTGAGATTCGCTTCTTATGTGTAAGTATATAATTATTTGAAAATCAACAATTAATGTCTAGAAATGAAATATTATGATATAAAATATATTTACATACACGCATCGAGTGCAGTTTTACAAGAAAAAAAAAAACATCACTATAAACGTCCACAACAAATTAATATTTTGCAAAATGATAAAAATCTGAAAATTTTCGATCAGTGTTAAGAGCACCACGAAGAAGTACAAAAATAATTTGTTTCGAACGTTTTAACTCGAAACTCAAGCCTGAGAGACGGGCGTGCAAAAAAATACTGTCCAACTTTTGTAACACAGCTCTAAGCAACAACAAAAAACTGATATTTTATACTTTTCAGTGAAAAATGAATTTTTCCTTTTCTTCTTTTCTTTTTTTTCTCTTTTAATCTTTGAGTATCAAAACGAATGATAAAAACAAAACCAAAGTCCAATGGATCGCAAAAAAAGTGAAAATCAACTGAAAGCTCGCTTCGTTACATAACTAACTCTTTGCTTAAAAACTTGCAAAATTAAATACATTGTTCATTCTTTTTACGCACAGGTAAGGATTATTAACTAAAACTTTTTAAAAAAGCGTTTATATATACGTCGATAAAAACTCGATAAAATGAGAATCATTGCTTTTGACCGGCAAAAAAAAACAAAAAAAAAAAAAAAAAACCAAAATGTCATGAAAACTGAATCACATACTTTACAGGGATTCTGACACTATACAAGTCGATTACCAGCACTTGGAGCGCGCCTGAAAATCGACGGGCGAGTATCCGATCGATGAAACACTCGAGGGCGTCGTCGAGCTGTACACGTTAGAGGCGACACCTACGGTGCTGCTTGGCGACAACGGCGTGGTGCCCGGGTCCTCTTTTATCACTGCGGTAACAAAAACACAACTTTCAAACAAATCCTTGATTTTCAGAAAGTGTAAATGTATAATAAATAAGTGCAAAACTCACTGTCCGGCCAGTACGAGCACCTGGACACGGCCTCGGAGACGCTCATGGCAGTGGGATCGTGCCTCCTGGAGCACGCGGCAGCAAAGCCCCCAGCGAAGCCATTCCCGCTACTGATGGCAGCCGCGGCCGCGGCGGCTGCAGTCGATCCGCTCGTGCCACCTGGAACATCGAGGTAATTCCCTTGAAAAGCTTGGGGACCCGGGGGTTCGGTCAGTTTGCGGCGAGGCGCAAGGGAGGGCGGGAAAACGGCGCCAGAGTGCGTGGCTCACCTAAGGACGATCCGATCTGGCTGTAGCCGTTCATCGTCGGGATCTGCATCGGCTGCATCGGCAACTGCTGGGGCAGCTGGCAGCCGTACGGCGAGAGCTGTTGTTGCTGCTGCGGCAGGCTCCAGGCACTAGAATCATCATCGGTATGTGTACACGTGAAAAAATTTAATGATTTTGTTACAATATCTAATGTATATAGTACTTGCGTACCTCTCGTAACGAGGGTAAGCGGTGGCCGAGCCGTAAGCAGGCGGTGAGTGGCTAAAGATGCTCCTCGAGGCGTTGATGTGGCCCATGTGAACCGACTGGTAGGGATTGCTGTACATGGCCTTGTTGTACGGATTGTTGTTGGGCGGGGCGCGCTTCATCCGCTTGCGTCGCCGGAAGTTGTTGTTCTCGAACATTTCGCCCGCGTTTGGATCTTCAACACGGATCATAACGAATGTACACATCGATACACTTCACGTAAGGATACAAAAAACACAACGCTCACCAACTGCGTTGAAATTAATGTAGGAAAGCGTTAAATAAATCTCTGATTGAAAACAACCAATTGATTTAGAAAAAAAAAGTCCAATGAACGGTAATTCATAAACAGCTTATTATATACCTGACACCGCGTTTTAAACGTATATCTCACGATCTGTGATAAAAGTGTACACTAACCGATGACCCAGTAGTTGCCCTTGCGTTCGGCGCCGGGTTCCCTGGGCACCTTCAGGAAGCACTCGTTCAGGCTCAAATTGTGCCTTATGGAGTTCTGCCAGCCCTTAATGTTCTCCTGGTAATACGGGAAATTCGTCATGATCCACGAGTATATCTCGCTGAGGGTCAGCCTGCCCTTCTCGCTGCTCCGGATGGCCAGGACGATGAGCGCCACGTAGCTGTAGGGCGGCTTTTTTTGCTTCGAATTGTCGTTCGTGCCGTCGTTGGCTACCGTCGCGTTGTTGTCGCCACTGTTGTTGTTGTTGTTGTTATTGCTACCACTGCTACTAATGCTACTGCTGTTGTTGTTGTTCTTGTTCTTGGCCGTGGTTGTGGTTGTGGTGATCGTGGTCGTGGTGGCAGAGTTGTTGTTGCTGCTACTGCTACTGCTGCTGCTGCTGCAGACACCGTTGGCGTTGGCCGACGGAGCGCGGCTGCTTCGCGAGCGCCTGTTAACGACGACGCTGGTGCTGTTCGAGGCCCTCGACTCCCCGACGCTTCGGTCATCCGTTATACTGTTGAGGTGGTGGTGGCTGCCGCCGGTGCCGTTGTTGCTGGTTGTCGTTGAAGCCTCGAGATAATCCGAACGGTCGGGCGAGTGATCTTCGAACTTTCGTTTCACCGATTTTGGCTGCGTAAGGAACAATCGATATAAAAGACAATGATCGCAAAAGTTGGGCTTGGAGGCCAAAGTAACTTAGCAACATAATATATATATCAACGCGCACAAAAATCTCTCGATTGTGCAGTTACATCAGGGAAAATATAATATATACTAGTGTCGTACATTGCATGAACAATAAGGAGAATGGTTTTCATCTTTTTAAGTTAATATTATGGCAGAAAATGAATCAAAATCTACGTAACAAATTTCTCGTGTCATTTTTCAGAATAAAAAACATATATTACAAGGTGTTTTCAAGTACTACTGTCACGAATAAGCGAAAAGTACGGGTGAACAAACCCAACAATCTTCACCCCCATATACAAGGCTCGATGATTTCCGCAAGTATGCAGGTACATAATATTCTATTTATCGATTTTTCTCAGATTTTCAGACGTGAGCGTTAATGATGATTTATAGAGTCAAGCAATTGTATATATACCAGGCGGTGGTTGTTATGTTGCAGAGGCCCGAGGCTGCTACTAGTGGGCATCGAGGCAACCTGCACGGAGCCGGGACTATGGCTGTGGTGATGGTGGTGCTGGTGCAGTGGCGACTGTAAGCTCGAGCTTACCTGCACCGAGCTGCCGTGCAGGTCCTTATTTGGACTCGCCGTTGGCATGCAACTGCTGCCCAGTGGATCCGACACGAAGCTGCTGACTGGAGAAGNTTTTAGGGGTGTAGTGGAGTTTTTGAAAAAGAATGATTGGTTGAATGGACTTATAGAAGAGTTTGTGCGCTTCGTTCGTTTGACTGTTACGATTCGCACTGCTCTCCGAGACGACCAGACGCTTGTCCCGCTCACACTCACGACGCCTCTCACGCTGTAATCAACCCGCTTGTACAATATCAAATAAAGTGTTTTACCAAACATGACCAATAGGTGTTATACGATCATATCAGTATTGAATGTAAACGGTGGAAACAGAGACGTGCGCAGAACGTGAAAAATTTATCGGTCTGAAGAATACATTTTTTTTTTTTTTTTTTTTTTTTTCATAGTGTACGGTACAGTGTGGGTATACATATATCGGTAATACGGTTGGAGATCGATGAGGTGAAATGAGAATGAAAAATAAAAGGCACCATGATAGGGTCGAGCTTCCAACAATCGAACAATGCGGGAAAACAAAGAAATCGATAGCGGACGCGAGCGAAAGAGCCGAGAAATCGACAACTTCCTCGAAACCTATACATACGTGTTCACGAGTGTATAATATATACATATATGTATATTATGGTCACCTCCCTCGATATTACGCATAGGTGGAGGGACAATTGGATTTTTTCATACGAATCACGAGGCATCTCGAAATTCGAGGCAACGACTCGCGGTGATGCTCGACACCGTTTCTCTTTCTGCACGGTGATGTATGTATATCTGCCCTTATATAATATTGTACCGATCATTTAAAGTGCGAGTGTGTTTAAATATTTATAAACAAGTTGATACTGTACAACGAAGCGCGGGGATACTTTGTTTAATTCACGGGATTTGACCAAAGGGGTCGTTTATCGTTTTTCACATGATGTATATGCGTTTACGAGTTTTGTGTCATTGAAGGTGACGTGAAATGATTGCAGAGAAAAAAATACACCCCGATAACTGAGATGATTAAACATCCACATGTAACAGCGTCGATTTTTTTTTTTTATATATTATTATAAAAATAAAACTTTTACATATAAATACTTTACACTCATGCAAGAGGAAGTAAAAAAAGACGAGGGTAAAGGTTTTTTTTTTTTATATGTTTGAAGTTTTGTCACGTGCTCTGTCGATGAACATTGGGATGTAGGAAGCGTGAAGTGACATTTTTGCCCGCTTGTTTGCATACCTCTCGGCCCAACGTGTTGGATGATTTTATTTAATTCGTACGAAAGACGCGTTGTATATATACATGTACGCGTAAAACGAAGCAAGTGTATTTTGTATGATGTATATGTAAAACAATATGTTCCCGCCACGGCCAAACCAATCAGTTATTATAAACGATTCGAGGCTCACGTTGATGCATAAACAAACATTTGGCAGCTGCGTTGTTTTTGTATCGTACGTTCCATTCCATATTCCCGCGTTGCTAACGCTTAGGTGTATATATGTATAGATTGAATTCATGGTGTTGTGTGTATGCAAGTATACGAGTAACGCAAAAACCTCGGTATTTCTGTATTTTCGTCCAGATGATAATTACAACAGGAAACAATGTTAAGTCACGAGGAATTTTTACAATCCTGTACTACCAACGCATCTCCAAAAAATAAATCCACGAATCTCGACGGGTTATGAAAAAAAAAAAAAAAAAAGGCCAAAAGTATACACCCCCGAGTGGGACGAGGAGAAGCTTACAAAATATAAATAAAGTATCGCTTGCGCGCGTATACGTATATACATACGCGCGACGCATTACTCAGAATTAAAGAGAGCACAGCTTATGCGGGGGTGAGGCGAGGCGTAGTAACAATGCCCCTGTGATCGTCTACGTGTGCGTAAATACATGTGTGTAATATACGGTCCGCGAATATATACGGGGCTCCTGGGTAACTGGAGCTGCTCGCGGTAACGCGACTCCACGATATTACGGGTGTATATATATTTCGCCTTTGGGCCGTGCGTGCAGCGTTCAAACTCCTTCGGTGCACGTCACGTTGGGCTCTGATAAAAAAAAAAAAAGAAAAGAAAAAAAAAGCCAAGTACCTATATACTCTCTCGAGTGTAAGTGGCGTTTTTCCTCTCTTTTAAAATCAATACAAGTGTGTATTATATACTGCGTATCTGCTGCGAAAAGCAAATGTTAAAAAATAAGGAGCAGTCCGAGAGACAACGTAACACTTTGCTGTCACTTATCGCGAGCTTATTGAGGAAATAACAATATTGTTAATTTGATCCACGTAATTCGTCGTGGGGTATAACTCCTCTCATCAAAAGAAGAAAAAACGTCGTTTGGCATTAAAATTATATTTCAAACGCATACTAATGTACGAGTACAGGGAATCATAAATATATAGTACTTACAGAGATTTAATAGCCAATTAGACGCAAAAAACAAAAGCTGCATAACTCGCTTATACATATTATAATAAACCAACTAAGCGTATATACTTTTTTTTTTTTTTTTTTTTTTTTTCCCCTCCCCAAACAAATATTCCCGGATGCAGCGATAAGCGCCGCTGTTACAGCACCATTTGATTACGTTTGTTAAATTGCAAATACGAATCTCTCTCAAATATTTTTATGTAATCATGTGTTTGTTTCGATAAACAAGCCTGACACGTGATGTTAAATTTTTTCACGACTACGAGTGTCAAGAGCGAGAGGGAGAGAGAGAAAAAAAATTACTCGACCAGAGAATCAAAGACAACAAACAGCTATATGTGTAACGCCTTCATTCATCAACTCATCGTCAAAGACAGTAAAGATATACATACATAATGTTGCATGTAAAAGCTCGCACGTATAGGTGTATCGAGCGGATGATGATGGATGGATAAGCGTATGTACGGTATATATAGGGTGTTGAGTTTCTTCTATTGGATGCACACAATACAACATATATAAGGTACAAGCGCAGGTATAGTGCACGTGCAGAGAGAGAGAGAGAGAGGGTGTTTTGAAAATAACAGGCCGAATAGCTGTCGACACACGCTGCACTGCACACATGGCACTCGGTTGTTGTACAAATTAATGCTTTTACACTGTCATAATAGCCGAGCTGCAGCATATAATAGAGAAAGGATGTTTTGCTTTACCGGATATGTATAATGTACAGGTACATTTGTACGGGGTGCGATGCGTTAGGTATAAGTATCGCTAATTGCGCGCGTAAAGTGATCGCCAACTTACGATTTCTTGCAATTTTTTTTTTTTTTTTTTTTTTTTTTTTTTTTACGCGGAATGGAATGCGAAATTTCGAAACGAGTTCCGGATTCGCAGGTTGAACAATTCAATTTTAGGAGTCAATACGCGATGTTACTTCATGTCATTGTGTACATATGGGTATGAATTTCTCAAGGTATACGAAACCTGTTGTAATGTACAGTAATCGAGAACTTCCTGATGTTTTTTATACATATATGGAAGAATTTTTTCAGATTTTCAGTACCAGAACGTCAATTGCAAAATCTGTTTCTCTCTCTCTATAATAATATTTACCAATCAGCACCATTGTGTAACAAGAATTTTATATAGTCAACGGTTAAAATTTAAAAACAAAACAAAAAAACGCCTCCTCCCGAGTCAAGGATTTTGTTTTTCGCACACCAGAAAATTTTTTCAAATCCAAACAACTTGACTCTCACAAGTATAGGTATTTTCTTTTTTTTTTTTTTTTTTATAAAATACTACAATTTTTGTATCAATTAAAAAACCCGTTGTCCCATAGCATTTCAGTGCATAGAAAAACCACAAGCAAATGAGTAAGTTCACATTCTCCATGACAAAAGATGTACCACTATACATGCCAACGTGGCACAAAAGAGGGTCGAAGGTCAGCGAGCTAATCTCTCCCCCTCCTACTATTTGAGGAAAAAAAAAAAAAAAAAAGCGGCATCCTCTGCATTCCCTCGTCTCGACGGAGTGCTGGCAGCTGCTGAAATCGGCACACACGGGAGAAAAAGAAAGAATCGTCGGTCCGGCCGCGATAAGCGAAATACAATACTCGAATGACATCAGCTCGCGAATCACCCGCGCACAATTTTACATGTATATATGCATATACAACTTTGCTGCTGCACGTCTTTTTTTTTTTTTTTTTCTCTTTTGTACATTATATAAGCTATATATGCAGCGACGTGGGTACGTGTCGATCGGCCAATGTGGAGTCTTTGCCACGGTGATATGGCGCACCAGAGCTGACGAAGGGGCTGATGATTAATCGCATTTTAATTCGACGTCATACGCGGAAAAGTCTTCGCCTGCCCACTACCTGTAGATCGATCGGTGCTCGAAGGAAAAAAGTTTTTTTTTCCTTCACATTCACGTATTTGTATATGTTATGAGGGTTTGTTTTATCGAAAAGAGTTTTCGATGTAATATTCAGCGAAATTTCTTCAAAAAAATTGTTTAGCTTGCAACGATTTGCCATTTTTGCGAGAAAATTACATGAACACGATCAAAAAATAGTTCGGATTGAACAACCGATTTTATATCATCTGATGGTTATGTGAATATCGTTAAAATCACCAATTTATGCTATGAACTGAGATAAATAATAAATACGTGCAAGTCCAAAAGTTTTTTCGCAACACCGGTATGGAAATAGCAATTTTATTCAAAATGATTCCCTCCGCGTCCTCAATAACAAAAAAAAAAAAAAAAAAAATCGATCTTACCGATCAATACGCGATAAAATCAAAGAGGCCATCCACACACGATTCGTTGCATAACCATCCAGCGCAAGCTCGCTTACAAAGAACACAAACGTCCTTCAATTTTTGCCGATCGGCAACCGAGTTGCAGGGATACATCATCGATTGGGAAATCGTTCTTATGAAAAGTGGGTGCAAGTATACATGCGTTACACCGAAAAGTGTCACACGCGCGCGTGTGCATGGCTTTTTTATGTTGCCTGCCACGTTACACGAGACCTTGACATGAATAATAATTGTTATTGCGAATATCGCCGTCCCTCTATACTCGAAATCCGGTCTTTGGTGCATCGAGTGCAAATTTTACATGTGATTGGAGAAAACAAGGATGGTGTGCATATCTATACCGATATCTACATTGGATCGGTTGTATTTTTGTTAAAACGGACTTTTTCCAGCATAAAGGACCGTGTTGTCCCTGGTCAAACAGATGGGACTTTTGAAAAAAGAAAGGCGCAGTTTTGTCCAACTTTACGAGGCGTCGTGCGCTCAAGATGACTCACTCGCGTCTCTCCCACGAAAAGAAAAGGGAAAAAAAAAAAAAAAAAAAAAAAAAAAAA